ATTTCATCTGAATTTCAACATCGTTTGTCATTTTTCGATCATTCGAACATTCGATAATAGCATGTACATATATTATAATGTCACACATGGGCACTTGCCTTATTCTTCTAGAAAATTTAGACTTTTCTAAGCTTGCTTTGTGTTTTACAATACGCCTCAACACCAATGCCCGCCTCATTTTCATGCTTGTATTACTCGATAAGCGGTAGAGTCCTTAAACGAATACAACAGACGAAAAGGTTATCCGTAATTGTCGCCGGACTCGCAATAACAGTCGAATAGTATAATTTATTTATTTTATTACCGAAAAAAAAACAAACAATTTACTCATGTTTTGTTGAACACGATTCTCTCAATATGGCATTATTCCCACGTATAATGGGCAAAACTATTAATTTCTTCTGGTACCGTAGAAAACAAAATATATTTTTGATTTCGTCGAACGATATGTATCCGTGTAGCTTCCAACAGCGATGTAAAACGTAAAAATAAAGCATCTTTTCGTTGTTGTTACCATTTCAGTTGTAAATAAAACTGTGAATTTTATTTGGCCTTGGAAACAAAAAGAGTCAAAGTATTAGAAAAATATTAATATTTTGTTGCACATCGTCTCTTTGTTTTCTGTCGTCGTTTTTTCCTACTGGGTTAAAACTCAAATCTTGTACCTGCGTTACGTTTGGCTAATGCAGACAGTTAGTTAAAGACAAGTAGGTTTTAACCGACTTTAACCGACGGGCTACTTCTGTACTTTAAAAAGCTGGCTTCACTGAGCACTCTTTTGTTGTTGAATGTTATTCATTATTAAGTAACTTATCAAAAGAAAATACTCTTCTTCAAGAGGTCTCTTCGATAAGAGAAATTGTTTATAGTCACTTCAACAGGGACTAATCTACTTAAAAACTTTACGTTGGTTTAAAAGATGACTGCTTTAAGTCATAATTTTAGATGGCAGAATAAGTACGATATTTATACGACTTTATTTCCAAGCATGGCAGAATAAGTACACTCACTGGATAAAATAAAAAGTCACCGTGATTTTTGTAACTAGCAAAACTTTCTCAATTAACCAATGAGCGTCTTGAAAATTTCGTGTAATGTGCAGATTATTTGTGGAGCGTACAGATTTCCTCTCTGGAAAGATGAACTTCCCTAATTAAATTCGACTAGCCTAATTGAGAATCTTCTGCCGATAATTTCTAAATAGGGATTTACATCACTTGAATTTATCGATAGCAATAATCGACTTAGTACCTCCCGTTATTGCTAACTATAGTTGTTATTGATTAGTATGATTATAATTACTACTCATGAAAATATTACTGTCAATTTCTAGTCCTACCACTAATAATATGACTATTACATATTAATAGAATAAACATTAAACGACGAAATATCATTGTTATGTTATCGTTGTACTATCCCAGTCGCTTACAATCACTATGGCGGCCAGAGGGATAACAGTTGTGATAACCAAACAACGGGTAATAAAAAAACTTACTTTTGGTCAAACTTTATAAAAAAATTAAGCTACAAGAAAAAAAAAGTATAATTTATAGAGAACAATGGGTCATGTGTGTAGGGGGATATGAGTATATACAATGGTTATATGCAAGTAGTGTATGTATTCTATTGCAGCAAGCAGTTTTTTATTTGGTAGGGGTTAGATATCGGTAGTATCACAAACATAGAGAACCTCTTATATGAAAAGTCATGTTAATATTCGAAGTTTTTTTTTTTTACCGATTATCACCGATCACTTGCCGATCACTTTCAAAACGCAAAGAAAGCTATGCTGATCAATGCATACGAGAACGAGTTTTCTATCGACAACGGCTCAAAGGTACTTACTTTTTTTGTTGTAAGCGTTGGACGAATTACAAGCGTTATAATTACTTCTCCCATTTACTATCTAGTAAAAACGATTTCTCAAGTATGACGACAAAGACAGTTACGATGACTGTAGCTGCAACACCTTCAGTCTCACTGATAGCAACGACTTTACTACATATTTAATCTCCTAGTGATATACCGAAAGAATATAGTACGATAGACATAATACTATTTGGCATTATTAGTATTACGATTACAATAGTTATAAGACGGCATTTTTAAAATAGTTTGTTGCTGTAGTCGGTCCAACAACATAGCACAAGTGCCAGAAGTTATAAGTGATAGTAATAATACTTTAGACATTATTGAACTTTACGACGTTTAAGTAAAATAATTATTATAGTTGGGACACGTGAACTAAAGGAGTCATGTGAGTTGTAGTTCTTATCACGTAGGGCTATACGTAATAGTGAGACTTCACTGAGCAAGTAATATAAGAGCATATAAAGGACCGATAAATAGCTGTGTATATTAGTTCGAAAAGAGCTAAATGCTACCGCTACAGTGTCACAAGCCACATCTCAAGGTTGCATATTTCTGCTCTTCCCTGGTATATTGGCTCGACACCTGATAACGTAACACTGCATGTTCGTGATATTTAATTGACGGTTAGAGTGTACGAGCAATGCAATATTATTATTAATGTCCTGAAAAAGTTTAAATAAGATGCGAAGTCGGTAAGTCGTGATTGTTTAAGCTTCATTCTACATCATGGTCCTTGTGGTTCCATGACAAATCTACTACAGCAACAAGACTGTAAGAGTTATTAAACCTGCAAAAGATTGACTGTTACATAGTTTTCTGCTTCACAATACTCAATTGACAATAAAAGTTTGCATATTATACGCTTACGAATATCACAGTACAACGTTGACTCTCCATAAACGTATTTTTTTCTACATGCACGACTTATTCCCATGGGCGTATTTTTATAAAGTTAACTGTCTATCACAATTGGCAACCAAAATAAATATAAGACATGTCTTTAACGGATGAGTAAAGTTATGCCAAAATGTGCTTCTCTGAAAGCGTTAAGTAAAAATTAAGATCTACAAAATTTTTTACGACTCTGATGAGGAATAAGGACAAATACCCGCGGCAAAAGCCGGCAGACTTGAGAAGGAAAATTTACGCCCACCCCCAAAGCTGAATTGTCTATGAAGACGGTCCGCTTTTTAGAATTTCTTAATGTTAACTCTGCGAGTACTTTGAGCTGTTGCCTGTAATTACTAGTTATCTTCATGTTTTCAATCTCTGAAGTGCACTTCTAACAATTATAATGTCGATTTATAACCAGTTGAGCAGAATAAGCTTTCCGTTATACATGTTCGAAAGCCATCTTTTTTAACGTATTGACTTACAATAACGTCAAGTTGATAACTTGCCGAAATCAATAATTGCAAATGGCAGCTGTGTTATATCTAGCATTGCTACATTTTACTAACTAATTGTGACAACAGATTATTGTTAATCTTTCATTCAGTGAAAACATTTAGTAACCAATAATCTTCTCATCTCAATATATATTTTAGTTTGCGGCTGTACTATTACTGCATTACAATCGTATGAGTGTATGCGTAATAACTACACATCTTGGTCGAGCTCTAGGCGCTTTCATACGAATATAAAACGCTTTTCTATATATTGCAACTTACATGCTAACTGAGTCCTATTAATATAATAATATGACCTAATCTTACGTCGTCTAGGCTTCATATGTATCCCCACTCTCAGAAACTCCGCATATGAATTGGATAATACAGTTCACATAGTAGTATATACAGTAGTGCAAAATACGTAGTTATGCGTACCATACGATGACTGTTAGTTTGTATCACTATTTACAATTATGCCAATCGTGGCTGCGAACGCCGTGGTTGGGAGCGAATACGTCATCACATGCAACGAACCAACTATTATAACAACGATTAATAAAGAAATTACAAAGATTACCGCTGCTACTGTTATTAATATAAATATTGAAAATGTATCGCTTATAGATACAGCCAACACAATTCCGATATATATATCCTCTGCTAATTACGAAACGACACATTCTCCACACATTTCGACCAAACCCTTCTCGATTCATAATCACAATAATTATGTATTTTGGAGGTAAATATGGGTGCTGCAGTCAAACTAACAATGTAATACAAGAACCAGAAATTATACTTTAGACATTATAAAGAGTTGCTTTTAGATAAACAAATTTAATAAAATTATAAATTACGGGCCATAGGAATTGGTCTGTCACATGCGTTCTATGATTGCACATTAAGTAATACAGCATGAATATTGTCATTATTATTTAAACTAATTTGGAAGTGTCACATCTAGAAGACCTGACTTTAACAGAGCGGCTTAATTCAGCGTATAAAGACAAATAGATTGAGATATCTTAAAATAGCAAATTAAATAAACCCCGCGTTTTATTCACGGCTGAAATGATAACAGTAAGGAAAAGATGTGTTGCTGAAGTTACTTGCATCGCTATTGGAAATTATACTGTTGTTGCAATGAATAGTTCTGAGGATACTCACCTCTTCATAACGAGTTATATAGAAACTCTGTATTTGTTTATTTTCTGGAGTTTAAATGTCACCCATTGTCACATTGGTTTTAGTTTGAAGTAGAAATGCGAGAGATTCAGAACTATTTCAAGTCGCTCTCCCAGTATATTAGCTCGATCTATTCAGGTGTCTTGATATAACGATATGCTTGGTTCCAACTCAACAACTAAGCAATGGAGTTTTTATTCTATGTTTTCTGTTGTCATATAGCAGTGTGCATGTTTCTATTTTATTATTAATCAATGTTGCCTATGCTTTCCGGAGCAGAAATAATTTTCGTGTAACTTCGTATTCGATGCAACATATATTATCGTAACGAACCAACCAATACAATTTTACACAGGTAACCCCCCCCCCCCCCCCCCCCCCCCCCCCCCCCCCCCCATCCTTCCTTCGTGCGCTACCCCCTCCCTCTTGCACCGATTATGTGACACTTGATCCGATTCAACCATAAATAAATAAGAGCTTTCGGCAGTCAGGATAAGAATACCTTCCTACAATCAATAAATGTTATATATTATAATTCTCTTAAAACTTATGGAAAAACGAATTATTGCCTTTATTTTTGGCCTTTGCATCATTATTGGAGCTTCTACTGCTCCGGTGAACCAGTCTATGCGAGAATATACTTGCCACAATTCTCCTCGTATTTCTTGGTAAGCGTTGACAGATGGTAGAAACTATAGCATGCGTATATATTCACATACAAATTGTTTTAGGTATACTTTACATGGTCGATCAATGCATACTAATGCGAGAACGAATTTTCTATCAACAACGACTCAAAGGTATTTACTTTTTTTGTTAGAAGTAAGTTACGTACAGTATGTTATAATTACTTCTCTCATTTACTGTCTAGCGCTAGTACAAACGGGTTCTCAAGTCTGACAACAAAGACAGTTACGATGACTGTAGTTGCAACACCGTCGATCTCACTGGAAGCAATAGCAACGACTTCACTATCTATACCCATTCCATCTCCTAATGATATGCCGAAAGAATATAGTACGATAGACATAATACTATTTGGCATTATTAGTATTACGATTACAATAGTTATGTATATTGGAGGTAAAGATGGCATTTTTAAAATAGTTTGTTGCTGTAGTTCGTCCAACGACATAGGACAAGTGCCAGAGATTATAAGTGATGGTAATAATGCTTTAGATATTATTGAACTTTACGACGTATAGGACTAAATGTTATTTGGTAGTAAAACAGGTGTAAACTCCAGCGTGTCTGCCGAATAAAGACTCTCGAAACTTTGGGTTATTTTAGGCACAACATTTGTTCAACGGACTAGTACGAATAGGTATTTTTTTCGTTAGTACAAACGTTGGAGAAAAGAGTTTGATGCGTGAGTAACGATTGGATTAGAGTTGATTTTTAAATTTACCGTATTGTATTTTACTGTTTTGTATAGTACCTAAGGGGTTAGTTAAATATACGGGGGGGACAACTTAGTATCACCATATGTCGATAAAACTGTCACAGGAAAATTCGTGT